TTTAAGGGGTACACCAATGTTAAGTCTAATTGACTTTAAAGAAAGAATGAATATTATCATATTTAAATAAATAAATAAATTAATATAATTCTCATATGCCACATACCATTTTCAATTTGTTTTAATTAAAAATTCCTCCACCTTTTTAAAATAATTGAATTATTGTAAATTTATTCCTTTTTAATTAAATGAATTCCATAAACTAAGTTCTTACAAAATAAATTATTCAGATAATATTGAATTGATATATAAATCATATACTTATAAAAATTAGAATTTAATTAAATCTATTTTCCAAATCTTATATTTATAATCATTAAATCATCACCTTACTCCGGTTATCATTAATTATATTGAAATTATCTTCTCTAAATATACAACTTCCAATCTTTTTCCCATCTTCATATACTCCTTCACAATATAATTAGGCTTTTCTATATGACATCTAAAGATTTTACACCAAAAAATTTATTAATAATTCTATCCAATTTCCTACTTTAAAACCATTTTGGTTTTTAATTCAATTGCCCTTTCTTCTTATTCTTTTTCGAAAACCTAACCCAATTTTCATTTTTTTGATTATCCTATTCATCATATTCATCTTTTGAGTTGAAATTTTGATTAATTCTAAGTTTTAATAACAATATTGGACACTAGAATCTATCTTCTTAATGTAAGCCTAACGTTAAATATTTATTGAAGGTATTTGAAACTTAGTTGTTTACAACGAAAAATTTGTTAATAGTGGCTTTGAACTCCATTTTTAATTACATCTTACTTTTAACATTTTAATAAAATAAGAATAATGATAAACAATTTTTGCATTATCAAAATATTGACTTTGCATTAATAAAACTAATTAGACAAGTTTTTATTTATGAATTAGATTAAAAAATACTGTAAATATTGAAAATATCAAAATTAATAAGTAATTAACATCTTTGTATCTTGACTCAAGTGAAATATTAAATATATGCTTTTTCTAAATATCACTTGGAATTTTTATCATTAAAATTTCGTCACTTATTGCTATATGCTCCAAATACTTGATAATTTGATAAACATGAGGAAAATGTCTATTTTATCTATGTATATGCGTTAAAATTAAATAATAATAATTATAATAAAAATATTGATATTAACAATTTTTACTTTGATAAAAATATGTTTCATATGATTTAGTTCATTCAATATCACTAATAAAATATAGTAATATATATATAAGGAAATTTTATTTCTTCTAAGGGTGGATTTAGCATTTTTTTAGCTGGATATAGCTAGGGCATGTAATTTTATTGATATTATATATTAATTTTCTAAATTTGATTATGAAAATTTTGAATTCATACCAAAAAAATAAGATATGATTCATTTTTTTATATTTTTTTTTAATTACCCATTTTTATCAAAATTAATAAAAAAGATATATTATAGCAAAAACTTTTTATTTGAATTAATTAATTATATCAAGTTAAATGGGTATATTATGATTTATATCAACAGATAAAAATTTATAAATATTGTCATTAAAATTACATAAATTTTAGAGAAGAAGATGAATTATTTATGCAGTTAAGTAACTATAATTATTAATTTCATGTTATTAATAACATAAAATATATTGTTAAACTCTCTTATATTATAAAAAACAGACTTCATTATTTTTTAAATTGTCTAAATTATAAAAAAAAAGAATATTTTATAATTTTTTAAGTTCTCAATTTAATCTAGTATAAATATTTATGAAAAGCAATTTAATTACATAAATTGTATTAGTTTTATATCATAACTTTGATCTATCAATGATTCAATTAAATAAATCAAATTTATACTAATCTGTCAAGTGTACATTATTTTTGTACAAATGATTAATTTATGTTTTGTTTCATCCTGAATTAGTAATAAAATGATTATTCTTATAAAATTTTCATCAATTCTAATTGGTAAAGTAAATTGTTTTTTATAAGGAAATCTATTTTGAATTTAACATTTTAATAAAATAAATAATCATGCCTGTCTTGATTCTCAATTATCTATTTATTTCGATATTTTAACTTAAGAAATCAGCCACTTAATAAATTTATTGTTCATCTAATTCCTATATCTATTTATTTTCCAATTTAATTTAATTCAATCTTAAATCTCTTAATTATTCTTAAGAAGTTATTAATCAATAGATATCAGTATATTTGATAATTAATTATTTTAATAATTTCTTAGTTCCTAAATTTCTTAAATAATCTTAATAAAAGTTTTCTTTCTTCTAAAATTGTATTTAGAAATTAAATCCTCCAATTACTCTATTAATCAATACCATCTTTTATTAGCGAAATAGAGGTTATAAATCCTTTAAT